GGCGTGTAGAATACAAACGGTGAATTGCACTAGCTCCTGTGTTAGAGAGGAAAATTTTGTTTTGTTCCGTGACTGCGACCTTCGCACGAGCCACGTCAAAGGCCCTGTCCCATGTGAGGTTTTCTGCGTTCTCTATTAAAAGACTCTCTGATCCAACAATCTGTGAGACCAGAAATCACTTGTTGTATTAGCATAGGTTTTTACACTTATTTCTTGGGAATACTACTGCTTTCGAAAAGAACAAACAAGACGGGAAATTATTGCATCCACTGACTCACCAGATGCTTGTTTCAGCTGCGATAAAATGTACCGAGAAGTGTAGGTGTTCATTCGAACACCGCAATGTGTATCAAGGGTCGATAAGGTCTCTGTCAATGTGGGTTTCTCTCGCAGATTTAGAGTAGCAAATATATGTCGACTCTCTGATCCGAGGTGCAAGCGCAAAACTTTAAAGTATCCTCCGTTTTCAGCGTCACGGATAGATTGAAAACTGGGAGCACAGAAATATATATTCTGCAAAACTAATTTTCCAGTCTTCCTAGCATTCTGCATTTGGGGTAACCGCAGTGTCAGTCCAGAACGATGAATGGGCAGTAGCATGCAAAGATATCGGTAACACGCGACGCCAATTTGTTGTATCCCGAAAAAGCAGCAGACCAGAGCAGCACCGGAACGTATGTATGGAAAATCTGTCCACAGGTACGCGCGTTACAATTATATCGATAGGGGCATCAACCATACACCACCACGCATTCCCGATTACTAACAAAGGCATACGTCGAAGCCATAAGAGAACTTCAACAAAACGAGGGGATCATAACCACCAAATCAGATAAAGTATCGGATGCTGTGATCATGACCCGCACGGAAAACGAGCAAGAAATGAAACTTATCGTCTCGGACTCCTTTAAATTTGTATGGAGGGGGGGGGAGCGAGAGAAGGACAAAACAGATTACACAGCAGCACAGCTGACAGTGTTTGAAATCACTGGTCACTGATGGTCACATGCCTAAAGAAAGATATGAAAGTCTAAGACCCACCGGCTCCATAATTCCTAGACTTTACGGTCTCCTAAAGTACACAAGCCGGGTGCACCATTGCGACCGATATTGGATGTGAGGAACTCACCATATCATAGCATCGCAACATGGTTAACGTCTATTTTGGATCTTATAAAAAATGAAAAGGTTAAAACCATGAACATTTTGGGCTATCGAATGTTTTCTCTGGAATTTGTATCTGTTCACAAATGTCCCCCTTCTAGAAACAGTCAACTTTCTTTGTACTTACATTGAGTAGCACAAAGATCAAAATACCAACTGTCCACTTAAATCAGCTATTACTCAGTTGCACTTATAACATCCAATTCCAGTGTAACAATGAACTATACAGATAAGTAGTTGCCGTAGCGCTGGGAGCACACTCGGGCCACTATTAGCTGATATATTTGGGAATGTTAGAAGATGGCCCATTAAAGTCCGTCATCTCGGGCCTACGTTGCTACCCAAGTTACGCTGAGGACATTTTCTGTATAATTGATCGGACGAACAACTTGCAGAATGTTCTTGTGTGTCTTAACAAGGCACATCCCAACACCACTTTCACAGCTGAAGAAGAAATAGACAACCAAATACACTTGTTGAATGCAAACTTAAAGCGACGCGAAGACGGATCAATCCAGATAGGATTATATAGAAAGCCGTACTGGACAGGCCAATACACACACTTCCAGAGTTTTGTGCCACTTAGCCCTAAAAGAACACTAGTACATACTCTGGCAAGTCGTGCACGGAAGATCGGTAGTGAGGACACAATTGAAGATGAAATGAAGCGAATCAGGAATACGCTTCTCGAAAACGGTTTTCCAGAACACTTCATTGACATTCATTTAAAGCCAAGTAACCCAAGACCAACAGTACAAACGGTAGAGAAGAAATAGCTATTTCTCCGACTTCCCTTTAAGAGTGACATACCGGCTGAGATATGCACACGACGACTGAGACAGACTTGCCGAAAGAACTTTAATACAGTGCAACTAAGTTTCGTTTTTACAAGCAGGTTGCTTATTGTTCCTAGATTCAAAGCCAAGATGCATGCTCAGTGCCAATCAGTGGTAATCTACCAGTTCACCTGCTGCTGTGGGGCTAGGTACGTTGGGTCCACAACCAGGTACTTGAAACAGCGAATTATGAACATTTACCAGCGTCGCTCGTCACCCAACAGTACAAAACTAAGTGGGGTGCAAGAATTAATCATCTGAACTGCACCAGTCATCTGATTGATAAGCGCAAGTCATTTGAGATCCTCTGTCGAGTGCCATAGCAGCTACACCATCGGTCAGGGGCTCGGCTTCTTGCTACCGCTGAAGCGATATGCACCAGGTTGACAAAACCTAATCTAGGCATTCAGAGGAAGCATGCTTAAACATTACAACTACCCTGGCCACACACTAACAAAGATGGATGGTACATCACTCAGCGGTGTCACATGCTTTCAGTCACTTGACCACATGAATCGTTACGTTAACTATGTAAAATTTTTGTTCAAGCAATATTGCCTCACTGTTTCCCGAAAGAACTCTTCTCAAAGTACATTTCTCTACCAAGACTGATGATGAATAAATCGAAAACCATTGTTCGCTTTAAGAGTACCGCCTGCGTTTCTTCTTGCAGTGTACCAAATCGATAGACGTTCGAGTTGCAACCAATCAAAAGCAAGAGCACATGATTGGTCAACATGTGCTAAATAGAAGTGGGAGTAGGATAAGCGAATCGAGGGCGAAACATAGCAAAGTATTTGAACACGACAGTTTCCTTGTCGGGTGATACGATTGACGAAGGCTTGAGGTTAGCAGTCAAGTCACTGGATGTAATAGAGTGGTTCCATCTGCATTCATAATCCTTTATATGGTCCCATTTTTTGAGCCGCTTGTGACTTCCAGACTGGTGTGAATCACAGGCCTGGAGTACCTGTGTCCAATTCATAGGATATTATAAGTATTCCATTAGGGGACAACTAGGCTGGGCTCCGTCAGCCTTACCTTTGTACGGGTCTTTGGTTTATTACTACGCGCAGTGCTTGGACGGTGGTACATTTCGCAACACGTCACGGCTTTTAAATAATTCCGTCGCATTCACAGCGTCCATGAACTGAAGGAGTACGCGACAACTGCAGTGCTAGCCACGTGATGGTAAGAAGTCAGTTTGATTTTTTTCGCTTCAGCTTCTCAAGAATGCAACGAAAATGAGCAGGCACGTGGGGTATAGGATCAACAAGCCTATCGCAGCACATTTTCCATGTGTCTTCGGTTTCAGACTTCATGTAAACGGCTACAGTGATATTGCGAGACAGTGTGCTGGAACGCGCTCGTGTGGCTGATATTATGGAGTTGTACCAGGAGATAATGCAGTAGAAATTTTATAGTATATATATGTATATATGCATGGAACCACGAACTATCAAACTCCCTACCTAGGCGGCGGATACCAAATATATGCACCCGTTATTTCTGCAATTGCTTCACATGACCAGATAAGCTCAGCGCCACGTCTATCGCAATGTATCCGATACATAAACCCCCTCCTATCATATGGTATACCGGCGATGGCGGATGGCACACTACCCATACCCACAAGGTTATTAGCAATGGACTCGTTCCTAATGCTCCCACACCAATTTACCGCTCAAATAATCTGCGATTATAATGACACATAACCGTCACGTGAACACTGATTCCACCATTTGTGGTATGTTGTTCTTACTTTTCATTGATTCCAGATGGATTAGCAACAAACAGTGTTTCCTAGGCATGCTTGCACATTTAAACGTACTGCGAACAATCCTCGTTACAGAAACGTGGTACCCCGCAGACATAGTAGACTATAATCAAATATTCCCCCAGTGACACTTTTTCGTAAAGGTAGCTGTAAAAGAGAAGTTGGAGGATGCCCCATGTAACTCCATCCCATATGCACATCAGAACGTCTTGAACATCCACCGCTGGCAATCGTCTCTGAGTATCTCTGGTTCTCCGTCTCAGCAGCCTCGGTTTACTTGCAACCATGCGCAACACGCCTAATTCATCAATCATGAATATTGTCCGTATCGCCTCAGCTTTCGATTTTGCATCGAAGTTGACGCACAAACAAAGGATACTTGTAAGTGATTGCAACAGACCGAAGATAAACTGGTCTTCTCAGACTTTCTTGTATATACACAGCCTTCATTTATTCAGTCAGAGTTGGTTGGACACGGTGGGTTACTATACCAACTAGGTTGACAAACACATTAGACGTAATGTTTACATCGGGTATGGCCAATGCACAGAGAGACTTTTCAGAGAACATCCCTGGTAGCGACGGCAACATGATACTCTTAAGCTTCACCGTTAAAATGGCCACCAAACAAGTACCTCCTTTCTATTACATCAGTCGCAGTACTAACTGGAAACCCTTTCGTCAAATAATCCGGTCCTGCCGTTGGGATGCGTACTTTCTCTCTAACCCTGCATGTACAGCAGTGGAGCACTTCTGTCATTAGTTTCATCAAGCCATAATACTCGTTGTTGCACAAGAAAAACGAATCAGTGACGTTTAGAAGGATGCAGCCAAAAGCTCGACGAGTCAGAAATCCAGCAAACCGATCGCGCGCTAAAAACCGATAGGATATTTCATAATGATTCCACAGATGCACCGACTCATCTCTGAAATCAAGCACTTACATTTGATGGGGAGAACACTTGAAGATCAAGCAACCCTACGAATGACGTGTAAAGCAATAGAGCTGGTCAGATTTCTCCATCGAAGAACCAACAAACGCTTTTCATTGATCACTGAACTGGTGAACGACATCCAGGCGCATTTAGCCCTTTCTTCTCCACCTACATAACCCTTGACTCTAACGCTATAATAAAATTGTGGCTACATAGTAAGTGCTATTGCTGTCCGCAATAAGACCCACGCAACACATTCTATTCAACCGTGTTCAATTCTGGAAGCTAATGGCACCCCTTTACCTCAAGGATAAGTCGTACCGCCACCCGGCGAGTCCCCTAGTCTGGCACCAGTTAGCTAACCGACCCCGATGTAAACCGAAAACCCGGGAAACTGGGCCGTACACTCGCAACTACACCGGACCAGCAAGGAGCAAGCCCCCCTTGCCCCCCGGAAGCAGACCTGCATTACTTCACCGGGATGTGCCATCCACCTTAACCGCGACCCTGGGGGGGGGGGGGCGCCCCCCTTTTGCACCTATAGCCACAATGTACCACCTCACCCTCAATCCACATGAGCCCACCGCCACCCCCCCCTCCATGTTTCTCCGAGCGCCCGCCCCCAATGGCACTCACCACTCACCTTTTCATGTGCACCACCCCAATGGCACCGCGCCCCCCCCCGCGGTCCCGCCGGGTTCACCACACCAGGACAGTCTTCTTACCCGACCGCTCACTCCCTCCGACAACTTGCCGATCCTCCCGGGTCACCACGATGGCACCAGGCCTGGTTACCCCCACCCCCACGAAAATTGGTCATCCCCCCGCGCCCAAATGGCACCGCACCACCACCAATGTCACCACCTCCCGCGCGTCCCCCGCTTCCGTACTACCCAACCCGGCACCCCATTTCACCAATGTCACCCCGGTACAGCCTTGTGCACCCCGCACCCCAGCACTCATAATGGCAACCTGGGCACCCCAGCAGATTATTCGTCCTCTAGGCCGGCGATGGCTTAAGAGCCTACCCCCCGAACAACCGCACCCCACGAAAGAAACCAGAGCCAACGCCGATGCATACCCTGGCCCCCCACCCCCAAGACCCTTCTATGACCTTCCAACCAGGAGCCAGACTCTCTACACCCACCCCTAGCCTTCCCCCCTATCCCCCCACACCTACGTTGGTGGGCCCAACCCCCCCACAACTAGACCCCCCTCAACCTTATCAACCGACGGTCCGTGTGCACCGTTACCCCACAAACCCCCACCCTCGGAGCAGGACCGCCAAGGCCGTACACGGCCACCCACACCCTCCAAGCTACCTAGTGGCACACCCCCACCCAACCCAAACCCGCTTGAAAAT